GGTTCAAGGTTTTTTTGGGGGAGGGGGTTTACTATTTTAGAAGATATGATTTTTGAAGGGGTTATTCTTAACCTCAAACTATGTTAATCTTTCAATACATACATTTGATTTCTGTACACTTGTTTTAGTTCATTCCAGGAAAGGAAGTTTGACAGATGCTGTCCAATCCTAATTTGAAAAAATATTCTGCTTTAATAGAATACTGTATAATATAGGCAGGGTTCAAGGGTTTTTTGGGGGAGGGGGTTTACTATTTTAGAAGATATGATTTTTGAAGGGGTTATTCTTAACCTCAAACTATGTTAAGATTATTTTTTAAGCTTATGATGTAGGGTTTCATTTCATCTCATTATTTATTTTGATATATTTCTTGTCTCAGAATGGTGGGAGACATCACCAACCATTGTCAGGAACTGTGGCCAAAGACCACAAAGAAGGAATTTGAGGACTACGTCACTCTGTTATTGTGTTGGAATTCTGCAACTTATAGTCCTAGCCATAGATTTGATAGAAGCCATGATGGCGTCAGGGGCATAGACATCATGAGTTATTTAAGAGTATTTGCCCATCACACATGCTCCAATAGGGAGGACATACTCGGGTCCCTCCCTTAAAGCAACTACCCTTCGGAACAATCTCTCTCTAGCCCCCCATATATGGTCAGCCATATATAGTTAGACAAAATAATCTGCAAGGCTTTAGAAAAGCAGTTAAGGCCTGGCTTTTTCCCCTGGCATTTGGGTCTGGATGAGAAGAGTTCCCAATTGGTGAGACATAGTATAGCTTAGTTCTGATTGCCATCTCGTTGTTTTACTTGGTTCTAATGTCTGTGTTATTTTTTCTTGTATTTTTGTTTTGATGGTGATGATGAAGATTCGTATGCTCCCTAGAGTCATGCTGTCTGAGTTGGGCAGTTATATAAATGCTCCTAATACATACATACACACATAAATGTGTGTCAGTTCAGTCATGATACATATGATGCCCAGCATATAACTGGGTAATGTCATTATATGTGGACATCCCTTGGTTTCCCCTTACCTGCCCCTCCCCCCATGGATACCCATTGTCCCAAATCTTCTGAAAGACAGTCTGATATTTTATGAACTCCACAAGAATAAGTGTCCTTCTACTCTTCTGTGGTGTAGAGTGAGGAAAAAAAGAACAGAGGTCAGGAAAAAAATGGTCTTCTGAGAAATGTTGACATGATTCAATATCTTTAGAAGTGCCACAGATTTTCTTTTGTAGAAAATGTCCCATAGGACCATTTATGTTTGTTAGTCTTTTCCTTTCCTGAAGCAGCTTTTATTAAAAAAAAATCAAATGTCTCCCCTTCTGCAGTCTTCATCCTTTCTCTCGGTGTGAGATTATTTTGTTTCTTAAGCCAAAGGCAGGTATGTCTGGAAGTTCTTCAAAGGATCTATAGGCTGAATTCATCCCTCTGATAATATATTTGTTAGCCTTCTACCTCAACAGATTAGGTAAACTGGGGATGGCAAGTGTGAATCAAGTGTTTCCAAAGAAAGTTCCCTGTTCTCAGAAATACCGTGGACTACTATTCATGGAAGACATGGGTGAATATAGTTTGTCTTCCCCATCATTCCCTCAGTCTAGCGGACACAGCTTTATTACATGTACAGTACTTTGTGTACTGTAGAGATGAAGGCTATTCTTGGATGAAATCCAGGAATATCTGGGAGGGGGAATCTAAACTCTGGTGGGACTGCTGGTGGGATGTGGGGTGGTAGTTTGGTTGCCATTTTAGGAAATACACTCCACTTCTGTTTAGTGGCTGATAACACAACGGGTGCTTTGGGTATGCAGACAGTGATGGACCCTGCCAATTGCTTCCTGATCTGGAAGAGTTACTTTCGGAAAATTACTGGACCACTTCCAGGTATGGCCAGATTGATGCATTCTGAAGTGTAACTTCTGGAGAACACCAGTACATTCAGTCCTTATAATGGTGAGTTTTCCGTGCAGCTACACCTGACAGCCATCCTGCTGTGATTCTGAAAACAGATTCACCAATATATTTGAAGATATATCCTTTTAAGGACTCAGGTTCAGTGATGGGGGTGGGCACATCTGGATCTACTACAGTTGTAGTAGAAGAAGAAGCTGATAGGCCAGTGGTTTATTACAAGGGAGAGCAGATTAGCAATTTAAGAACAATTCCCCTTTCTATCAGTTGATGGAACTGGTTTTGGAATTCCTCAGGCTAATGGTGTTGGGTGACTTCCATACAACTATGGGGCTGGTTTCTCTAGCACAGTTCTAGAATCCACACCAGATATGAAACTGTGAATCATCTCCTGTGACTAAGTGGGATAGACCCATAACTAGAAATACAGTTTAGCTAGATCAAAACTAGATCCATTCAACTGTTTTAATCAGAAAAGTGTTTGTGAGTGGGATCACCTCAGTTCTTCCCCATTGTAACTAAAGGAGCATCACCTCATTATGACTGAATTAGTAGATATGTCTTGCTGCTGTAGAGAAAAAAGTTTTATTAGAATGGCTTAGCTGGAAAGGTTATAGGATCAAGTTGGCTTTGAAAGGGTCTGTGGTAGGTCTCATCAGTGATGTGTTGATGACTTGCTTAGGACCTGGAATGAAGAAACTGCTCGGGCAGTCCATATAATCTCTCCTAGCACCCTCTCTGATCTGCTCCTGAGAGGAATGGTGGGAGTTGCAGTAGCAAACTAAATGGCAACATGTATGTGAAGGAGGACACCAATCCATTGAAGCATGGCAAAAAGCTATGTGAAGGTTTATGCTATGGCAGAACAAGTTGCATGTGTCCTATATAATGATTAACAATAAATAAATAGTTATTAGAGAGCTAGTTTGATGTAGTGGTTAAGGTTACAGGCTAGAAACCAGAAGACTGTGAGCTCTAGTCCTGCCTTCACCACAAAGCCAGCTGGCTGACCTTGAGCCAGTCACTCTCTCAGCCCTAGGAAGAAGGCCAGGGCAAATCACTTCTGAAATCTTGCCAAGAGAACTGCAGGGGCTTGTCCAGGCAGTCACCAGGAGTCAACAGTGCCTCAAAGGCACAAAAAAAGGGGGGGGGGGGGGGGAGCTATTAAGGGGAGAGTAAGCAGAAGGAAACAAAGGAGACCTCTCAAACAACTCCCATTTCACATATAAAAAAGAGCCTCTCCTAGGCTGTTGGAGGAGGGAGGATTTAAAAATAGGGGCAGAAAAGAGTACGGCTGGGTTAGGCTCCCCAAGTCTGTCTACAGTCCAATATCTCCAATCCCACCACATTTTAAAATGTAATTTTAAGGTAAAGTGGCAGGAAGTTGGGGAAGGAAATGACAACCAGTTGGGGAAGAGTAAAAAAATGGCTGCTCCATGACGATCTATTTCGCTGCTGGCCCACCCAGATGAGTCACTTTCCAGGTCACTACTGCTGTATGAACACAGCCAGTTGAGAACATTTGGTTTCATCTCACTTCCACTAAATTGAGCTTTGATTATTTTTTTTTATTACTGACTTGGCTAAAGATCATGATACCAGCTAAATGCAAGATATCCATGTAGAGCCCTGTTTTGCTCACTCATTGGCTCTGATGGAAGAAATACGGCTTTGGTAGCTTGTCCAGAATCAGTGGTATCGGTAAGGTGGACTCAAGCACTACAACATCTCATGGATTTATTTCTGCCTTTCAGTCTGTGAGTCCATCTGCCTCCAAGGGACAGCGATCTAAATTCAGGTGGATGGTACAGAAAGAGACATCTGTTGCAGTGTTTTTCAAACTTGGCAAATTTAAGATGTGTGGACTTCAACTCCCAGAATTCCTGGCTGGGGAATTCTGGGAGTTGAACTTCATGTGTGGACTTCAACTCCCAGAATTCCTGGCTGGGGAATTCTGGGAGTTGAACTTCATGTGTGGACTTCAACTCCCAGAATTCCTGGCTGGGGAATTCTGGGAGTTGAACTTCATGTGTGGACTTCAACTCCCAGAATTCCCCAGCCAGGAATTCTGGGAGTTGAAGTCCACACATGAAGTCCACACATGGGAGTTGAAGTCCATGCATCTTAACATTGCCAAGTTTGAAAAACACTGATCTATTGCTTTATCAGGATTTTTTAGGCAGTGGAATCTGTTTGCAAAACAACAACAGCAATAATAATAGTCCCAGAACCCTGGTCAAAGAGGTGGGGTTTCTGAAAATCAGCCCCACCCTTTTCACTTGAGTCTTAGTCCTTGAGATTTTTTTCCCCTTAGTCCCATGGAACTCAAAAACTGAAAAAAAACTGGATTTGGTTACTAGCCTTAGCTGTGCTCATACCACATGTATTCATTTATGATAAAAACAGTACTGGTTAGTTTTGGCACATTCTGGCCAGTATACAAGAGCAGCTAAATCCAGATTTATCCCAAGATACTCGTGTTGTTCTGTCCAAGCTAGGATCTTTCATCTAAAGACTACCTTACAAGCCAACATACTGTTGTTTGCATCCCAACAATTAGGAGATCTATGCAGTATGCTGACACACACTCAAGACTCATGTTCTAAGCTCTGCATAGTATGTCTTACTCCAGAAAGGAATAGCATGATGTATTTATGTATGTTGAAACCTCAGAGGCTGGAAAAACATCTAACCTCTCCAATCAAGGCTTGGTGAAAAGTTAAAAAGGAGTTAGGATCTTTTGGATTCAAAGCTTAGTCCACTCAGTTTATGCCTAATCCCTACCACACCTCTTTTTTAGCATGGAACTATGAGGGAGGGAATGAAATATCAGATGTCCCATCTCCAAGATCAGAACCTGGATTCCAAATTGGAGGAGGACCTTCGAAGCATTGCTAAAGCAACATCCCGTGATTTGCAACTGGGAAACAGTGGAGGACGTGGACATGTGGGTATAGTGAATCAATTAAAAAAAGAGCTGGTTCTAAAAAAAATTAAAACATATTTATTTATATATTTATTTCATATATAAAAGAAATTAAAAAAAAAGAAAAGAAATCACAAGGAAGATGCAGGCTTATGGCAAATCCGTCTTGTCCGCGGCTTCCACCTGGGCAACTGACTCAGGTCCGCCCGAAGTTAGTAAAGTCCGCCGGTTGTAATGACCCTTAATGATGCCAGAATTATTGTTCTCATTCAAAATTTGTTTCTGCTTTTGCCTGTTCAGAGATTGTACAAGCCCTAACACAACAGCAGCTAAGGAATACTGTCCTGTGAGTTTTCTTGGTTGCAAGGTCAAAGGGTTGGGCTGGACTCTTCCCAGAAGAAAGTAGGTTTTGATTTTTCCTTCTTGCTCACTGATGCCCTTGACATAAATCTCTCCCCGATAGTCAAAGGCAAACCCCCGGTCCTTCAAGATAAGATATGTTTCCTCAGGCACTTGCATTCGGCCACTAATACCAGTACTGTCCATTCGACTAGCTAAATTAACAGTTTTGCCCCAGATATCATACTGTGGTTTCTTAGCACCGATGACCCCAGCTACAACCGAGCCGTGACTGATACCTAAGAAGAGAGAAAAGCAAATTGCAATCACAGAACAGAGCAATCCTACTAAATCTGAGGGCTCCAGTGAATCTAACTAGATCCACTTCCTCTCCAAATTTCCCCAGTTCTCACATACTGAGAGAGAGCCTTGCCACTATGGGAGCACAAGGTGTGATCCCATAGATATTGCAAAGATAATGGTGAAATATAAGAGGTGCAAGTCCAACAACATCTTAGAGACCACATGTTGTCCATAACTCAACTAAGAGAAGGAACATACTGTATATTTCCTATGTTTAACATACAATGGGCATATAGTTAATACATGTATGCACACAATGGAACTAGAATAGTAAGAGAATTCCAAGGTACCGCTAACTGTTAATAACTTAAAAGAAGTTGATGTAGCCATGGAAAAAGTGGTGTGATATATCTAGAATGTTTAAAGGGTTGGAAAGAATGCCAGCAGAGGCTGCAAATGGAAGCATGGCTTTATTAACATATGGTTCAGCCTTCATCAAGTTGTTCAAATATTGGAGAAATAATATCACCATATTGTGAAGACTTGGTCGCTCACTTCAGGGAAGAAGTGACTTTAGCCTTTCAAAGGAACACACGTGCAATGCTTGGCAACTTCTCTACCTATGGCAAGCAGCACTGAAATGATTAAATAAATAAAGGTTTTCCTTTCGGTTGGTGGGAAGCCTGCGCATCTGGGACACTGTGAAGGTCACTTAAAATGATCAGCAGATACGTACCAATGCGGAGCTCAAAGTTGTTAAAAGAATGCTTGTTAATCTCTTGAATGCTTTCATTCAGTGCAATAGAGAAATCTGCCAGGGCGCATAAATGGCCCCACTTATCTTCACACTGCTGAGGAATGAAAGACAGAATCAATGGTGTATGTTGGCTGGTCAGCTGTTAAATAAATAAAATTCTGCAACAGATGAGAGCTGAACTTAAAGATTGCAGAATATTAGCAAGGAGATAAGTGTTTCTGTTTTGGGAATACCACTTGAACACATCACAACAAAGAGAGCTTTCTTTGAAATATAGGAAGATTCTAGCCCTGTTCAGTTCATGTCTTACCCATCCTGGCTTCACTCTCCCATCCTCACTGAGAATGACATTTTGAAGGGTTATTGAAACACACCAACCCTCTGCACATTGTGACTTGACTTTATTAGGATCCCAAGATGGTAAACAGTGGAGATGGGACAGGGGAATAAAATGTGCAGCTCTACCCCACATCTCCTTATACATCTTCATTCTTCTCTGTCTATATTGGTGATGAAGAAGTAAGAAATGAAAAAAGGAAAAAATGCACCCTATAGAAAACTATCTGAAATCAATAGTTGAAAATATATGTAGCTCAGAGTTGAACTGTTGGGTTCTTGGGGTTCCCTAAGCTTCTTGTTTTCCTGTAGGTGTTTCATTACCAGGCTAGGTAACCTCATCAGTGCAAGGGAGAGTGGAATTTGCTGGTTGTTTATACATAGTACCTTGCCCTGCCAGTCTTGGTTGGGTGTGGCTTCCTTCTTGATGGTTCCTTCATTAGGTTATTGTTTCTTCCCTGATGGTGTGTCTGGTGTTCCTTCCTGCTTCTCTGGGTGTTGGTTGCTAAGGAAGAGGTGCTCTGGGCTGTTTGTTTAACCTTCATTTGTGGTTATGTCCTTTAAATGGTATGGCAGGGCTAGCTACTATATATAAATAACCAGAACACATAGTTCTTCCATGCACTGAGGACCTTATTTAGCCTAGTAACAAAACATCTGCAGGAAAACAACCAAGCTCAGAGAACACCAAGAACCCAACAATCCAAAGTCACTCAGGACTGTTGCTTAGTTATAGCTGAACAGATCCCACCCTGGTTGGAGTCTGCTTGAACCTCAGTGTTAACTGTTCTGAGATTTCTGAAGAAGCAAAGAAAGCTGACTTAACTGGAGACAGACCACTGGTCCATCTGGTCCCTTACGGTCCACACCAAAAAACATGGTATTTTTTCAGCCTGATCTAGAGATGCCAAGGACTGAATGTGAGATCTCCTGCATGCAAATCATATTCTCCGTCACTGAACGATCACTGTAGAAATGTAGAACATTAAAAAAAAATCCCTCCCTTATCTGGAGCTAGAACATTGGTTCACCTTGTCCTGAATTTAATTATCTAACTGGCAGGAAGGTTTTAGAACAGAGATAAGGAGAAAATAGCCAGTTCTTGACCTCTGGATCCCAAGGAGTTTGGGATGGTGGAGATGCAGAAAAAAGTTGCTTTACATTTATGTTATACTATCTACAATAGCTGTAGTATAAGTTGGCTTGTATTTATGTTATACTAACCACAACAGTTCTGCTTCTTCATTCAGTTGGCACCTAAGCCATGGGCTCAAAGTTAATAGTTTTCAACCTACGAGGCAGAAATTGTGAAAAGTTGCCTTGTCTTGAGAAAATTAGACTTACTGGGAGTTAAATTCACCACAAAATCAGATTCCCATGTCTTTCTCTTAAAACAGACAAATATGTATTAGAAAGTCAGATGAACTCCTTACCTGTTTTTCAGGGGATAATCCTGATACTGCCATATATGTGCTTCCAATGGTTTTAATTTTTTCAATGTCCTGAAATCGTTCTTCACCTAGTAACTGAAAACAAGGGAGCTGGTTAACTCCAGCTTCCTCACTAAAAAGGATTTCTGAGTCGTGCTGATCTGATACTGTATGCGCTTGCCAAAGTTATTTCATTTTACATTTTTCACCCTATGGATTATTCACTGTGGAAGGCTTTGAGTAATAGATAATACTGCATTTACTCAAAAGGAAGATGATCAGTGATCCTGAATAATTCCCCACCTCCTTCATGAAAGGAAGAATAGCTAAAAATAATTATTAACACAAACTGCTACACAGTGCCCAGTATCCCCACTCCATCTGAAAGCAATAGTGGAGATTTCTCTTTTCCCAGTGAAGGTGTGAAAGTCAGTTTGATGTAGATTGGATATCATGTGTTCCAGTTCTACCAACTCACACTAGACCAGAATGATAGATCATGGACCACAACCTTCAATGAAGAAGCCTTCAAGCTAGGGTTGACCGATTCAGGCTGATCATGAAAAAAGTAATAACAATCAACGTGTGTGTGTGTGTGCATACTTGTATAGCAACCATCTTTCCACAAAGACGTTACAACGAAGATTTTCATGAGGCTTTTGAATATTAATGTTGCTCATGGTTACAATGGGTGCTTGTGGCTACTATATAT